ACAGGAGACGAGGCGTGAGGTGTGTGGTTGCAAAAGAGAAGGTGTTGCAGGGGGTGGTAAGGGCCCTGGGCTGGCAGGCTGTGTGACCTTGGGCAAGCTGCTCACCCTCTCTGTGCCTCAGTTCCCCATTTGTGAAATGGGAACAACGGTATCTACCTCGCAGAACCACAGGTATCCATGAGTTCATGGCATTGTGTTGGGCATGCAGTAACTGCCCCTTGAATGCAGCTGTGACTATGGTTAGAGCCCGTGGGCAGACACCTTCTTGAACTCTCAGCAGGCCCAGCAGGAGGGCTTCTGCTCTGTCCCAGACACCCTTACTGTGGACAGGGACATGCAGTGGGGTGACAAGCCCAGGTGCAGCTGAAGTCAGGCAGGAGGCCCGAGGTGCCGCGCCCCTCGCAGTTCTAGGGAGAGTCTACAGACAGCAAGGTCCAGAGTGGCAGAAGGACCCGGCTCCAACAGGATGGTGCTGGAGGAGGGGCCGCCGCACCTCCAGGACAGGTTGCAGGGCGCGAGTTCTTCCTGGCAGGCGCCTAGCCTGCGGTCTGTGGGCAGAGTGAAGGACAGGGCAGGGACTGGCAGGTTCGGGTGTGCCCAGCTGAGACTGGTAGGGACGGGGCACAATGTGGCCCGGGGTTCCAGAAAGGAAGAGACGTGATGGGCGGCGTCTCCAGGAGGCGGCAGCGTGGACCGCACAGGTAGGGACCCCCCGGGTGTGCCAGGCCCTGGGAAAACTGCGTGCGGGGACCCTGGTTGGGGTTCAGGGCTGTGTGCACGCAGAGGGGCGGGCGTGCGTGGACCAGGAGGCGTGGGGGTGCGCTCCCGCTGGCTAGCACGGTCATGGCCAGGGCTGCCCGTGTCAGTCTCTACCTCCACTTCCTTCCCAGCAGCCGTCTTTGGCAGCCACCCCCGCGGCTGGCTGGGTGGCCACTTAGTCATTATGTCCCTCCAAGTGTGAGACACTTTAACCCTCTGCTTCCCGAGCGCCGTATAGCTCCCTGTGCCTGTGGGAAGACGCTGAGGCTTTGGGTAGGGAGGCCGCAGCGCACAGGCGGCTCCCCAGGCAGTGCAGGGGCGCGAGACTGCGGTTTGTAGGGTAGGCGGCATTGCAGGGGGGTCAGGGGGGATCTGATTGCGCCCCCTCTGAAAGAGGCTGCAGGAAGACATCGGAAGGAGTTGAAAACTGCAAATGGGAGGATGCCTGGTTTGTGTTACTTCACTTCCCTACCTCTGGTGGAAACTTCCAGAAAAGGGAGGGGGGGGGTTGGTGGTGGTGCAAAAAAGACCCTATTGTGAGGGCAGCTGCAGGTGCCAGGGCAGCCATCAGAGAACTCAGCGGCAGGCCCAGCTCCAGAAGCAGATGGCTTGGATCTGGCTCCCTACCCTTCCTCATTAGAGCTGTGGCCCTGGCACAGCATCTGTTTCTAATCCTCAACTTCTCCCTCTGTGAAATAGGTCCAACATCAAAGCTACCTTCCCCAGGGAGTCCTGGGGTCCTGTAGTGTCAACTCCCAGTGTTCCTGATGTGGCAGCTGTGGAGAGAGAGGATTCACAGGGGTAGAGCATAGGGCATCCAGAGCATGCTGGGGAGGGGGCTGGGCAGGCTGAGGCTTCCAGAAGGAGTGAGTCCTCCAGCAGGAAGGATGATGAGGGTTAGCGAGGAGTTAGATTTCCTGTTTAAGCTGGAGCCAGGAGTCTCATCCGGCTCTCCCACGTGGGCCCAGGTGCCTAAGCACTTGGACCATGCCCTGCTTCTTTCCCAGGCACATTAGCAGGCAGCTGGATTGGGAAGCAGAGCCACAGGGACAGACACTGGTGCTTGGGTGGGGTGCTGGTGGCACAGGCAGCAGCTTTGCCTGCTGTGCAACAGCGATGGCCCCAGAAGTCCCATGTTAGCCTGCCTAGCTAGCAGACCTGACACAAGACTACCTGCCCCATCCTTCACCTGGAAGATGGAGATAACAACACCCCTCTCACTGAAACATCACAAGACTTAAAAATCCACTAACCCACAAGATGCACGCAGGACATGATGGGCCCGAAAGATCTGGAGTGGGGGTGGGAGATGGAAACATGTCCTAATCTTCCACTTGGCTGCTGCGACACAGCAGACCACAAAAGGCACTTCCCCTGACACTTCTTTGGCTCACAAGTCTGTGACTGGGGAGGGGCTTGCTGGGGTCTTACCTCTGCTCTTCGCAGCCACAATGCCCTGTTGGGGCTGGAAGCTCCTCTTCCCAGATCTCCCCACTTGCATGGCAGGCAAGTGACTCCCTGCTGTTGGCTGGGCATGGTGCCCAGGACCTTGGTCTCTGGTACTACAGGCTGCTTCCTCCCAATGTGGCACTTGAATTTTCAGAGCTGGGATGCAGGAGCTGCCAGTCTCGCTCAGCCCTGGTCTCCGAAGCACACAGTGTGGCTTCCGGCTTCTGTTGGCCACAGAGTAGCAGGGCCTGCTTAGGTGCTGGGGGTTACTCGGATGCCACCTATCAGGAAGAAAAGTGCCTGTCCATCCGTTTGCCTGTACTTGAACCTTCCCAAAGCGGGGCCTCCCTTTGGCTTGGGTGCCATGGTGCTGAGTCCCTTTAGCTTTTGCAGAGTTGAGGGCTTGTTCCGCGAGAGGCCAGCAGGGACACAGATGTCACCGGCAAGGGTCAGGGTCCCGGGGCTCTGGGCAGTAGGAGCCTTCTCTAGCATGGGTCTCCCAGGCCCCAGCTCTGCCAGGCCTGGGCCTTTCAAACAGGAGGGAGAAGCCAGCGTGAGGGTCACTGGGCTATGGAGCAGCAGACTTCGTGCAGGTAGCCTGCGGATGGGGTATAATGAGCATCTTAGCAGCTCTCAGTCCTCTGGGGAAAGTCGGTTTGTTTTTCATTGAGGGCTGGTGTCTGGGGCTTTGGAGTGTCTGTTGTCAGACATTATAAGATTATTAATTGATGGACTGGAGTAGCCAGGGCTGGGGAGGCAGGAGGCCTGTGGGGGTTGCAGGCCTGGCGGTTGCCATGACAACCTGCAGGCTTGTGGTCTGGCCTTTCCAGCAGGAAGGAGGCTACTTGCAACTCCGCCCTTCTCAAACCGCAGGTACCCTGGTACCTGTCTTTAAAAAAAATTTTTTTTGAAAGTTAGTTTTTTTTTTTTTTTAGGTTTATTCATTTTATTGGAAAGACAGACTTATGGCGAGAAGGAGAGACAGAGAAAAGTCTTCAATCCACTGGTCCATTCCCCAAGAGGGCTCATTGACTGGAGCTGAGCCAATCCATAGCCAGGAGCCTCCTCTGGGTCCTCCACATGGGTGCAGGGTTCCCAGGATTTGGGCCATCTTCTGCTGCCTTCCCAGGCCGCAAGCAGGGAGCTGGATGGGAAGTGAGGCTGCTAGGGTTAGAACTGGAGCCCATATGGGATGCCAATGCTTAGAGGTGGAGAAGTAGCCAACTGGACCTCTGCACCAGGCCCGACACCCAGCTTTTGTGGCAATATGTATGTGACCTGGCTGTCAAAACCACCCCTCATCCTTTTACCTGCTCTTGTGTCCTGGCTGAAGTCCCAAGTTCACCAGCTCCTGACTTCAATTCCGACCACCCCGGCCTCTGTATCTAGATGTGACCTGCTGCTCTGGAGCAAGTTACAACTTCTGCTTGCAACATACAGTCACATGGAGACAGTTTTGCAAGGACTGCTGGGAGCAGCATTTGCTTGGAGGGCTCATGCCTCTATGGAAGGGGATTTCTCCTGGGATCCCTGCCAATGTGGTTGTCCAAGGGGACAATAGTGACTCCAGCATCCACTGTTTTCCCTATCCCCCCACCCCTACCCCCGCCCCTGAACACAAGTCCTCTAGTTCACCTGGTAGAGCCGAGGGCAGCCCTGGGGACCCCCCAGGCAAGGTGAGACCTGGCTTCCCAGCTGTGTGTGCATCTGTCCTAAGATAAGCCTAGGAGGAGATGACCTGGCCACGGTGGCTAAACCCAGCCTTGCTCTTATCATGGAGCAGTCCTGGCTGCCTGAGGCTGTTCCTTTTGGAGAATGAGGGCTGGGTGAGGTCCCGGAGGGGCTTGGATGTGGGGAGAGCCTGTAGGAGGGGGCTTTGTCAAGCACTCCTGAGCTACAGCCCTGGGCCGGGCTTTCAGCTTAGAACCTCCTGCTTTACCTTGTTTCTGCCTGGAACCCACACCTGGCTACCTGCACAGTAGGTAGCTCGGCTGCTCTACACTGCAGGAACTCTAGCCAGTGCACTGGGATTCCCACCCTGGCTGCCCTTTAGGACCCTGCTGGAAGCCTCGTGCTGGCCCCTCACCTCCAGAAAGCAGCACTTCATCAGCCTGGGGCAGGGGCAGGGCAGTGTGGTTTTGGAGGTTCTGTAAGGCTGGGTAGGGTAGGGATCCTCTCAACACACTGGCCCTGGGGCCTGTTGGGACTTGCTGAGCTTGCCAGCCTGCAGATGGCTGGAGGCAGGGGTGGGAGGGGGTGACCGCAAACTCTCTGCTTGTCCCTTGTCCTTACTGCAGCAGTGACCCAGGTACCTCCCAGGTACCTCCCAGTTCTCTGGCGCTTTGGGGCTCCGGGGCTGGCCCTTGGACAGGGACTCAGGATCCTGCCTCCCCTGGTGGCCTGTGGGTGCTCACCTCCATCCTCCACCTGCCCCTTTGGTGCTGCTTCCAACACGGCCAGCAAGGGGGCGCCCTGGCCCTGGTGGCTAGAGGAGGGAGGCAGCCGACCCGCCCTCTGGCTGCCACAGGTTCCTGGGCAACCGCCCAGCCTGACACCAGATTGGAGTTCACATGATTCTGCCTCAGCGCAGGAATGGGCAGCCTCCGGCTGGGGATTTTCTAGACTTTGCCGGGAGCACTGGAGGAAGCCCCGCTGGCTGGCTGGCTGGAGGTGCCAGTGGGTGCTGTCCCCACACGGGGGTGGCCCCGGCTTGGCTGGGGCGGGGCCGGGACCGGGCCACCGCTGGAAGTGGCTGGTGCTGAGCTGGAGGGCAGAGCCCCGGGGCTGGGGCCAGCGGCAGCAGCAAGACGCTGCTCACTGGCTCATCCCAGAATCTCTCCACGCTGGACCACTCTTTCAATCCGGACTCCAGGAGCCACAGGCGCCAGACGTGGGTTTCTGTCTCTCACCTCGCTGCAGAAACCAGGTCCCTTTGCTGGGGCACCGAGAGGCTGAGCGGTAAACGTGGGGCGCTGTACTGCTGCTTCCAACCTGACTTGTGGGTAAGTGAGGAAAGCGACTACATCTTACAAAGGCAGAGAGTAGCAGATGTCAGCGTGCCTAGTGGGAGTGCTGCTCCGGGGAAGCTTGCTTCTACTGGGTGTGTACCTAGGCTTGAGTGTGTGTGTCTACGTGTGTTAGCCGTGATGCGCAGTGTCTTTCTGGCTACCGCTTGTGGTCAGAAAAGCTTCAAGCGAACACAGCCTGGTGCCGGGACGCCTGTGTTCTGGGTCAGATCCACCCCCAACTTACCGTGTAAGCAGGAGCCGCTGGCGCAGCCTCTCCAGCCTCAGGTTCCGAAAGCTGGGATAGCGATGGCAGCCCCACCTCATCAACTCAGCCGACATTGAACTTGGAAGCTGTCCTCCGGCTCTAGAAAGGAGAGTCGATTGTTCTGGTCTGCTGTGGGATGGAGGCCACTTTGAGGGAAGGAGGGGATTCAAGGAGAATGTAGCCCAATTTCCCCCAGTGTCTTCGCAAGCAGCCAGCAATAGCCTCTGACACGAGTGTGTCTAGGAAAAGAACCAGCTTTGTTTAAGGCATGTGGAAGGGGAGCTGGGTCCACAGGACGCTCCCCAGCCCTCTGCGGGCTGCTTCGAGCAGCCCTTGGCGCCAGGACTAACCGCTCCCCACCCACGTGGAGCATGGTGACCACGTGCAGCTGGCAGGCACTACCGCCCTGTAACCTGCAAGGTGAATCAAGAGGTGCTCCCTTTCTGCCAGGGACTTCTGCTCTCTTGGTCCCATGGTCCACTGAGGCATCCATGCTGCTTAAGCATCAGTCTCAGGTCGGCTTTGAGACCTTCAGTCACTCTGTCGCAGCCTCACTCGCTTTCTGTGTGGGACAAACAGCTGTGGCCAGGAGCCTTTGCCTGGTGCTGTTGGCTCTGGGAGGAACTACAGGCTGGACACAGAGTAGCTTTTCCTCAGTGGGTGTTACAGGACCACCTGGCCTGGGATTGAGTCCCACTGGTACAAGCGGCACCATGCCCAGGCTGGTGACCCCATGGTGGAGACAGTGGCCACAGTGGTCTTAGAGCATGGAGTGAAGCTCAGGTGTAGCCCACTCTGGACCCTGGAGTGGGCTGCTTCATCTCTCTGGGGCTCTGTTTTTCAATCTCTGAAGGGAGCACTGATGAGAGGGGCGTGGGGAGGATGGATATGCAGAAGTGGACGTGGCAGCTGAGGGTCCACAGTGCCCGTGTCTTTCCAGCAGGATGACCACCTGACAGCACGTGGTGTAGTCTGGCTTTTGAGGAGGATGGTTCCTTAAGTAGGCCAGGTAGAGAAGGGATGCTCTTGGCAAGGCGTGGTCTTCCCCTGCTGGTGCCTGTCCTCAGGGAAAGGGGTGAAGGAGAGCTGACTGCAGTGGGACCTGGGTGGAAAAGTGGGGCATCTGACCAGCTCGGACAGCCCGAGCAGAGGGGAGGCCCTGGCTGTTCCTCCTTCTCATTTCCTGTTTCTGTTCATGACATCTCCACTGTCCCAGTACCTCCCCCCAAATGCCCCACCCAGCTAGCTACCCACGCTCTCACTATCCATCATTCATCCACCCCCTACCCACCCACCCACCCATCCATCCATCCATCCACTGCTGGTCTGTCTGTCCATTTGCACATCCACTCCCCCTCGCAAGTCACTTTTATAGCCATCCGATCATCCAGCAAACTTTTGAGAGTCCACGAGAACCAGGCCATGGAAGCCTCTTAGGTTTGTCTCTGGATCTCCCCCTCTAGTTTGTCATCAGTGCCTGTAGCTTCTTGTTGTCTCCTGTCTGCCACACCCTCCTCCAACCTAGATCCAGCCATGCCACACTGCTTTCAGTTCCCCAAAGGGGCCATTCTCCCCCTCTCGCCTTTTTTTTTTTTTTTTTTTTTTTGCCTGTTGTACACATTTTCCGCAGGCAGAAACTCCCCTTGCCTGGGCGGCGCTTCCATCTTGTGGTTTTCCATATACCTGTCCCTGCTTGGGAAGGCCCTTCCTGCCTGCCTCAGGTCAACCCCTTGGAATTCCTGTGAAATCTAGGACTCCCCTTAGCATTTGTCACTCGTCTCTTCTCCCCGATAAGACTAAAAAGCAATTTAGCACTAGGGGCCAGTGTAGAGTGAAATCCTGCCATATAGCAAGTCTTCCAGGAGTAATGGCTACAGGAAAGGCTACATGGATGGAGGATTGATAGAGGAAGGGAGGAGAGGAGGGACGGATGGATAGACGAATGGATGGAGGGATGGGCGGGGTAGATGGAAGGATGGTTAGATTTGTGTTTTAGGGATGCTCCTGTGGATGGTAGGATGAGACAGGAAGCCCAGCAGGAGGCTGATGCACTGGCTCAGCCGGCTCAGGGCAGAAGACCTGCTCAAGCCAATATACGGTGCTGGAGGGGGCTGAAGAGGATGAGTTTTCTGTGGGAAGTACTTAGGAGCTCGAAATGGTACGATGTGGTAATTCGCAGACTGCTGTGGGTGGAGGTGAGGGAGGAAGGTGAGGGTCAGCCAGCTGGTAAAGGTGCCTCTTCCCAGAGCAGGTTAGTGGAGACAACGGTGGGCCTAGAGTGGGCCTCACTGGGCATGTCAACTGCCTGTCAGCTTCAGTGTGGGAGGGGCCTGGCCATCGGCAGAGTGTACATGGGAATGAATGCAGAGGAGACGCCACCCCACAGAGTGCTTGGGGAGTTAATAGAGTGTGGGGGAGAGATGCCCACAGCAGCCACCACATCTGGTTGCCCGTGGGAATCATCTATGCCCACAGTACTCTTGTCTCAGGAGCCCAAAGGCCCCCGAGGGTGGGAGCCATTGCTGGTTCATCTCTGCATAGCCTAGTGCTGGGAGCACTGCGGACGTCCCTAAATATTCATCCTATGCAACCTAGAGGTGCCAGGCAGGCTGCTTCACCTCGCTGGGCCCCATGCAGATGATGACAGGGCTGTCATGAAATGCTCTGTGAAGTGTTCATGCAAGCAAAAGGCAGGTGCCCTGGACCAGGTCAGGTGTTATTTCTTGAAAGCCTGGCTCAGTCTGGCTTTGTCATTCTAACCAGGGGGTCTGTGGGTCTGAAGTTCCCCTCAGGCCACCTGTGCTCCCTGCCTTGGGCACATGTTCAGGATGCATGCTCAGAGCCTGCACACTAGACCTAGAGTCTCCCAGCGCCTTGGCACTCCCAGCGCCTTGGCACTCCCAGCGCCTTGGCACTCCCAGCGCCTTGCCACTCCCAGCATGGTCTGGAACCATCTGGGTGCTTGTTTGAAATGTGAAGCCTTGAGTCCCACCCCAGCTCCCCTGTGTGCCAGACTCTGCTGGTACACTCCCAAGGTCCAGAATGGCTGCTCTAGCACCCAGCACCTGCTCCAAAAAGAATACAGGAGATTTGGACATTTCATCTCAGTGCAGGTCAGCATTTCCTCTCTGCTCTGCCAGCTCTGGTATTTCCGACTTGAGGTACCAGAATTAGCCATACGTGTGGGCCTAACCAAGAGGAAGCTGCAGCCGTTGCCACGTCTCACACCTCACATCCGTCCCCTCCCCACCGGTAAATGACAGGCTTGGGCTGGTGACTCTGGGGAATTTCCAAGACCTGACAGGACGTGTTGGCAAGGTGGCCTTGACTGCCCCGTGTTGGAGGCAGGGCCCCTGCTGTGTCTGGGTTTTATTTTCCTGTGGTGCATATCTTACTGTGGGGCCCTGGGGAGCAGTCCTGGACAGGTGCTGGTCCTGGGGACTGTTTGGGACTCATGCTGCTACTGATGCCGTCATAGCTCAGCCTGGATGCCTTGGTTACGTAGGTGTGGGCTTGGGGTTTGGGGACAGTGGTGAGGCTGGTGAGTGGAGCTAATTGTGACTCACCAGGTGGTGGGTAGTAGGCTCAATGGCTGCTTCTTCCCATCCTCTCTTCACCAAGTCACCCCAGGGGAGACAAGCAAATGAGTGCCCTCGGTAAACGTGTCAACGGCACAGCTGCTGCGACCCAGTTTGGTGATTCCTCAAAGAGCCAGAAGCAGAGCCGTCCTACCAGGCAGCCCTTCCAACTCTGGGGATAAGCATGCTTTTTTGTGATTCAGCGGGTACAGAGGTCTAACTGTGCAAGATGGGAAGACTCCTGGGAGTGGATCATGGTGATGGCTGAGCAGTGATATGACCTCAGGCCAGGGATTTGCACCAAGGATGGCCGCAATGGAGCATCTCCTGTTGGGTCTTTTGGCCATGATAAGCACCACAGCAGGCACCCTCCTCTGCCACCATCACTGGGTGTGTCTGACCCGGTGCTGTGTCTTCTGGGAAGGTAGGGGTTGGGAGGTGAGATTGGCTGGGGACATCTGAGCCACCACCGTGATTTGTCACTTCCCAAAAGATCACAGCATGAAGCAGGCAGGTGGATAGGAAAGCTTCGGGGAGCCAGTGTTTTAGGGGAAATGTCTGAAAAGGGGACTGGTAATGACAATGGGGTTGACCAGTATGGATTCAGGGGTGGGCACTGTAGTGCAGAGAGGTAAGCCTCTGCTTGGAATGCCTGTATCCCATATTGGAGTGCCATCCTGTCTCCCGGGGCTCATGATTCTTGGGCTTTGCTCAGGTTATACGGGGAGGGGGGGGCACTCGGGGCCTGTGTCCTGAAAAAAAGAGCTTAGCTCAGGTTTCTTAGCAGCAAACTGTGGCTGCGGGCATGGTTGGCCTCCTGTGCTGTCTGGAGAGGGTAGCCCTGGCGAGCACAAAGCTAACAAACCTAGGTCCCCTGTCCTAGGGGAGAATCTGTGACTGGTTATTGTGGCAGGAGGCAGTGCCCTATCTACTACCCTGAGCCTCCCCTTGGGAATTGGGCTCATGACCCAGCTTGGGCTCCTTGGAATCCTGGCATTGCTCGGAATCTCCACAGGGTGAGGAGGAGGCAGGGGAATACTCTAGATAGGAATTCCCGGGAAGATTTTGGGGGTAGTGCTGGGGAGACATCAGCCACAGCTCAGGCTCCTAGTGTGTGACCCAGGCCAATATTCTAGTTGAACAGAAGTTGGGCAGCTGATGTAGCTTCTTCTAAAATAAGTGACTGAAGTGCTGAGAGCCCAAGGCACATGGGTAGGTGTTGGGTAAATGGTCGCCACGGTCATCTGGAGTTTTCCCCTTCTTTGATTTTCAGGGACTCATCCACGGCCAGTAAGACACAGCGTCAACACACCTGGGACCTCCCACTCTGAGCAAGATGACGGTGCAGAGCGTGGCCCTGTCCTTGACCCCATGAGGGGCAAGGCCCCTGCAGGTCCAAAGATGGGGAACATCACGGGGGACAACGTCTCCCTGAGCTGCACCATCGACCACACCATCCACCAGACGCTGGCACCGGTGGTCTACGTCACTGTGCTGGTGGTGGGCTTTCCAGCCAACTGCCTGTCCCTCTACTTCGGCTACCTGCAGATCAAGGCCCGGAACGAGCTGGGTGTGTACCTGTGCAGCCTGACCGTGGCTGACCTCTTCTACATCTGCTCGCTGCCCTTCTGGCTGCAGTACGTGCTGCAGCACGACAACTGGGCGCACGGCGACCTGTCTTGCCAGGTGTGCGGCATCCTGCTCTATGAGAACATCTACATCAGCGTGGCCTTCCTCTGCTGCATCTCCATCGACCGCTACCTGGCCGTGGCCCATCCCTTCCGCTTCCATCAATTCCGCACCCTCAAGGCAGCTGTGGGCGTCAGTGTGGTCATCTGGACCAAGGAGCTGCTCACCAGCATCTTCTTCCTCATGCACCAGGAGGTGGTGGAGGATGGGGACCAGCACCGTGTCTGCTTCGAGCACTATCCCCTCCAGACCTGGCAGCGTGGCATCAACTACTACCGCTTCCTGGTGGGCTTCCTCTTCCCCATCTGCCTGCTGCTTGCCTCCTACCAGGGCATCCTGCGTGCTGTACGCCGCAGCCATGGCACTCAGAAGAGCCGTAAGGACCAGATCCAGCGGCTGGTGCTCAGCACCGTAGTCATATTCCTGGCCTGCTTCCTGCCCTACCACGTTCTGCTGCTTGTGCGCAGCATCTGGGAGGCCAGCTGCGAGTTTGCCAAGGGCATCTTCAACGCCTATCACTTCTCCCTCCTCCTCACCAGCTTCAACTGTGTTGCCGACCCTGTGCTCTACTGCTTTGTCAGCGAGACCACTCACAGGGACCTGGCTCGCCTCCGTGGAGCCTGCCTAGCCTTCTTCACCTGTGCCAGGACCGGCCGGGCCAGGGAGACCTGCCCGCTGGGCGCCCCTGAGGCCTCTGGGAAAGGTGGGGTCCAGGGTGAGGAGCCAGAGTTGCTGGTTAAGCTTCACCCAGCCTTCCATACCCCAAACTCTCCTGCAGCCGGGGCCTCCCCGCTAGGCAGCCTGGCCTAGCACGGGCTACTCCACGCCCATGGCACTTGAGTTCTGAGCCTGCTCCCAGATGCCTCCTGCTTCGCCATACATGAGGTTCCAGCAGAGCAGACCATGGGCCTGGGCTGTAGCAAGCCTCCCTGGCTCTCTGGGACCTGCTCCAACCTGCTGAGCCTGGTGTGACTGTCACAAGAACTTCTGCTGCCAGGCTCTGGGTACCTTGGGTGGGGGACAGTGACCAGGAGATTTGCAGAGTGCGGCTGGGCTGTGGGTGTGCAGCATGTGGACAGGGAAGACGGGGGTCCACGGGTGAGGGGGTGCCTGGGTACTTACCTGTCGGGGTCTTCCACTGGTGTCCTAGGTGATGACCGCTATCCCGATGTTGTGTGTGTGGAGCTGGTACTGAGCTCTGCTCTACCATGGGCTGGGACAGGAAGATTGGGCAAGGAAAAGGAAAGAAGTAGAGGCATTTGTGGAATGACAGTGGAGGAAGTGACAGGCAGAGGAGGAACCCTGGATCCAGCCACGTCACAGTTGCACAGGACCAGGTGAGAACCCAGGCCCAGGACTGCTGATGACCCAGTATTGGGGCTCCCCAGGGAGACATGTGGGATAATAGAAAAAGCTGGCACTCAAGCTGAGGGTATTAGGCCTGGGCCTGAAGCACCACTTCAGCTGTTAACCAAGTTTCCTAAAAGGCATCATCCAGTGAGCTCTTTCCACCTGCCCAGAAGCCAGACCTAGGGAAAATAGGGGGCAGGGAAAGAAAGAAAGTGGCTTAGTTCATGGATAAAGTGCCAGGGTCACAGCAGTGGCTAAGATGCTGTTTGAGATGTCTGATCCCGTATTGGAGGGTCTGGGTTCGAGTCTTGGCTTTGCTGCTGATCCCTCCTTCATGTAAATGCACATCCTGGGTGGGAGTGATGACAGCTCAAGTACTTGAACCCCTGTCACCCACGTGGGAGACTCAGGCTGAGTTCTGGGCTCCTGGCTTTGGCCCACCCGTGGCTGTTGTGAGCACTTGGGGAATGAACCAGCACATGGGAGAGCTCTGTTGGTCCCTATCTCTGTTTCTCTTTCAGACAAAATCAAAATCAAAATAAATAAAACATTTATATACACAGACACACACACAGGGGCTCGCAGAGTGGCCCAACAAGCTAATCCTCCACCTGCAAGCACTGGGATCCCCATGGGCACTGGTTCATGTCCTGGCTGTTCCATTTCCCATCCAGCTCCCTGCTTATGACCTATGAAGGTAGTGGAGGATGCTCCAAGTCCTCAGGACCTTGCATCCACATGAAGACCTGGAAGAGAGTCCTAGACCCCAGCTTCAGATCGGCTCAGCTCTGGCTTTTGTGGCCACTTGGGGAGTGAATCAGCAGATGGAAGATCTTTCTCTATTTCTTCTTCTCTCTGTAAATCTGCCTTTTCAATAAAAACAAATAAATCTTTAAAATATATACATGTATAGCTGAGTCTTCCTGATGTGATGTTTCAAGGCACTGAGGCCAGGGCCCTGCGATGGCCGAGGGTGTCCCCATTCTGTCCTCTGGGGGTGTCTGGCAGGCTCCAAGAGCAGCACATTCACCCGAGTTCTCAGATGTTATCAAGCAAACGCGGATGCCTGCGCTGGTGCCTCTTGGCCCGAAAGTCCATTCTCCTCAAGCTGGCTCCTGCGGCCAGGGCAAAGCGGGGCCCTGGGCCACCTGCCCCGTCCACCATCTACATTCCTCCATGTGGTGAGCTGCCTTCCCTCCATGCAGAGTGACGGTGGGCCACTCACCCATGGCTAGATGCTGGCCACCGCCTTTCATTCCATCCTAGAAGTCCGAGTCTTGAGCTCATCTGCCCTGAACATCCTGGTCTCATAGGTTGACCTTGATCATCCAGGAAGTGGCCACGAAGGACAGAGCCTGCAGGTGGCATGCATTCTTGTCCCCTCCCTCTTGAGCTGCATGAGGTCATCTAGTTTTTCAGCATGAGGCTGCGAATCCACTCTGGACCTGCAGCTGGCCACCTCCCTGCTGAGGTCAGGGCACGGCCACGTGATCTCTGGGACCTGCTGGGTAGTTGCTCTCCACGAGAGAGAGCTGACTCAGTCCGGCCCTCCTCAGAGGAGATTCCCCAAGCAGAAGGGCCTGTGGATTTGGGTTTGTTTGGGGAAGCCCACATGTGTTGCTTGGGCTCTGGGGGCAGCAGTATCTTCCCAATAGTGCTGCAACTCTATGTTTGCAGCTAAGGATTAACTGCATCCTATAAAAATGTAAATTTGATTTTGCTTACTCAATTCCACTCTGAGTGGGGCTTCTGGAATGTTCTGGAACAGGGGATCCTTCTTCCAGACTAAGTAAGGATGCTATTGGGGATTATGGCTCTTTATTATTATTCTTTTCCTCCTGAGAGAATGGGTGGGAGAAAAAGCTCATGTGGCTTGGACCAATCGTGGCAGAAGCCATTAAGATTCCTTTTTATTGAGCAGTGTTTCTTAGGCAGACGGAGCTCATCTTCCTGTTTACACATGCTGGTCTGTGGCTTGGCCCGACAAGGAGAAATTTCTAGCACAGGATACATCCCCATCTGCTGTCTTCCTTAAGATAGCACAACCGAGAGAGCCAGAATCTGGCCTTCCCGGTTCCATGATTTTTCTGAAAAACTCAACTTCTTGCAGCTGGAGATGCTACAGCTTCAATTCCCAGAATTCATCTGTGAAAGCATGATCTTAGACTTCATTCTGAGGTCATCGTAGGGTCCAGAGCTCCAGGAAAGTGGTAGGATTCTCATCCCACCCACAGCTGTCCTACAAGTGTCAGCAGAGCGTGGTCACCCCACACGTGAGCGGGTCCCTGTTGGGAGGTGGCAGAGAGGTCCTGGCTTCCATCTCCCTCTCCATGGAGCATCGTCCCTACATGCCTCCAGTGACGCTTCAGTCCCCACAGACACCGGCCATGACAGTTAACTCACTAACATCCAAGACAAGTCACTCCCGGGCTGGACAGGAAATATTCTTGTTCCTGTTAAGATGCTGCTTGGGGCACTTGCATCCCATAGTGGAGTACCCAGATTTGCGTCCTGGCTTTACTTCTGATTGTGGCTTCCTGCTAACATACAGTTAAGGAGGTAGCAGTGGTGGTTCAAGCATCCCTCCAGGACCAGAGCCACTTGAGCTGCTGGCCTTGAAGACGGCTCTCAGATCTTACTTCTCAGGGTTAAGCCTTCCTTGCCATATTAGGCAAGGCTGGATGGTCTCGCAGCGACAGACCGACCTCCCCAATCACGGTGCCTTCCAACAATAACAGTTTATCTCTCATCTGTGCAAAGTTCAGTGTGAGGCTGCTTTCTGGAATATTCTCTCCCAAGTGACAGAAATGATTTCAGACCCTTCTTTCAAGAGGTCCCATCATCCTGGGATCGCCCCTTCCCAGCCACACAGGTAGGGAAAGCAGCACAAATGGAATCTCCTGGGGTCTGGAAGTGTGGACATTCCTGCTACTCACATTCCCATTGGTCAGATCCAGGCATGTGCCTCAATCTAGATGCAAGGAAAGCTGGGAAGTGTAGTTTTTGCTCATATGTACACAAGGAGGCAGACTCAGTACCAGGCCAGTCTCTGATGGGCACCTCTTTGAGCCTCCTCCACTTGGCAGGTTTTCAGCATTCTCCTTCTTCCATCTCCACCTGAATAAAATCCACCTCCGATGTGATGCCTGATCAGAAGTGAGACCGAGCCTGTCTGCCTGTGCCAAAGAGAAGGGGATCCTTTTCCTCACTGCTTCTTTCCTTCTGGCAAGCTCGTCAGGGTGGCGCTCATGTTTGTGGAGTTTATGTGACTTGCTGGGAAGCCACTTCCTCTCCATCCTGCCTGAACTTGACTGAGGAACCAGTAAGAGACACACAAGCTGGGAGGAAGATACAAGGTGACTTCATAAAAGTGGGGGCTGGAGCTGGTGTTGTGGCACAGTCTAGCTGTGGCACAGTGCAGCTGGGGTCTAGCTGTGGCTTGTGGCTCTAGCACTTTACACGGGAGTGCTAGTTTGAGGCCCAGCTGCTCTGCTTCTTATCCAGCTACCTGCTAATGAAACTGGGAAGGCAGCAGAAGATGGCTCTAGTGCGGGGTGCTGCCATCCATGTGGGAGACCTGGATGGAGCTCCAGGTTGCTGGCTCCTGGCTCCAACTGTGGCTGCTTGGAGAGTAAACCGATGGATGCAGGGTCCACTGTTCTCGCATTCTCTCTCTTGGTCCTCTGCCTTTCAAACAAGTAAATAAATCCTTAAAAGTGATCATAAAAACATAGAACTAAAAGATATTTCAGTGCACACAATTTTGAAATTCACAGATCTGAGAACTCTTCAAAATGCTCATGAAAATTTATACTGGGAAAAACCAAGCACGGGTTTAGACATTTTTGCACCAAAAATAAAGTTGTTTCTTAATTCCTACAAACTTTTTTTTTTTTTTTTTAGTGTGAGACAGAGAGAGAGGGAGAAAGAGAAAGAAACAGAGAGAGAGAGAGAGAATGAGAGAAGGATAAAGTGAGCTCCTATCTGCTGGTTCACCACTCAAGTGCCCAAAATGACCGGGACAGGGCCCATGCAAGAGTCAGGAGCTGGTGACCGAATCCAGGTATCCTGTGCTGTGTCCAGAACCCACCAACTTCAGAAGCCACTGCCACCTATCAGGGTCTGCCTTGGTAGAAGCCAGGGTCAGGAACTGGCAACCCAGCCCAGGCACCCTGAGATGGGGTGCAGGGAGCTTTTTCTTTCTTTCTTTTTTTTTAGGATTTATTTATTTTTATCGGAAAATCAGATTTTCGAAGAGAAGTAGAGACAGAGAAAGATTTTTCATCCTCTGGTTTACTCCCCAAGCGGCCGCAACAGCCTGGACCGAGCTGATCTGAAGCCAGAAGCCAGGAGCTTCTTCCTGGTTTCTCATACAGGTGCAGCCCCCAAGGCTTTTGGCCATCCTCAAATGCTTTCCCAGGCCACAAGAAGGGAGCAGGATGGGAAGTGGAGCAGCCGGGACACGAACCAGTGCCCATATGTGATCTTAGTGCATGCAAGATGAGGACTTAGCCACTAGGCTATCACATGGGTCCAGACACACATAGCTTAACTGTTCCCCCTTGAACTTGGTGAAGTACCTTCTAGTGAATGCAGTGGGCTAGGCCAAGATGAGGCCAGCAGTCAGCAGGGCCTGTGCAGTGAACAACCTCCCTGGAACACCTTTGCTGAGCGGGGAGGACATTCAGGCAGCTGAGCAGCCCTGACCCCCCTGAGCTGCATTGCTTACATTTGAGCCCCACTTCCTGCAATGCCAGTGTGGTGTGCTGCCCACTGTCCCCACCCTGCCTTTCAGGACTCAAGAGCACAGTGCACTGAGCATCACACCCTTCTCCCT